TTAAAACTTAAAACCAACAAACCATCCAATTTATCATCAAGAAAACTAGGATTTAGTTGCAACAAAATTTAACCAACTAAATTTAATTATCTGCAATCCAACAGATCCTCTACAGTGGTTCTATTTTTATGAAATCTCACGGACGTTGCGGCCGAAGTGGCGCGGATGCAGCTGCATGTTGCGCTCCAATACCATGTGGAAGAACATGTTTGAGAGTGAAGAATGAGAGTTCCTCTCTCTATGGATTCTGGGTTCAGGAAGGAGGAAGAGAAAAGGTTAGGACCTTAAGAAGGTAACTCCCAATTGATGAGAAATCTATGTAATTTAATACCAACATGAAATGAAATGAAAGATTTGTAAAGTGTCAACTCTCTTGCTCTTGATTGATTCACGCTGGTTAAGAGAAAACTGCTTACAAATTGACTTAGCCCAAGATGGAGAAGAAAGAGTAAGACCTCTTAACAGCTAAGTTGCAGGGGGAGAGAGAATATAGACGCCGATCACCTCGAACGACGACGATGGAGCCAGGCTCACTTTGTGGAGAAAGGAGACGAGAAGAGAAAGATAGTATCTTAAAGAAGCGTTTAAACTTTAAACCCTCACTTTGCATCCCCCAACTTTTGTGCAATGTCATTGGTTTAATTTAATAAATAGATTAGTATTTTTTTTTTGTTTCATTTATTATTTTTAACTATTTTTATATTTATCTATTATATTCCACATTTATTTTAGTTTAACCTAATTTATTAGTTTTCTACTAATAATTTCATTATATTTGGTCAAATTGACCTTTAACTATATATTTTTTGTAAATTTTATTTCTTTTTTTTTTGTAAATTTTATTTCTTACAATTAATTTTAAGATAAAACTAATTTTGTGAGGGTAATAAGTTATTTTTTACCATTTGAAAAACTATAACCTTTATCACATGTTGTTTTAGTTTTTTTTTATTTATTTTTTACAATTCTCCTTTGTAGCAAAATGACAAATATTGACATAATTTAATTATTGAAATAGTTTGTTATGGATTGTTTTGTTAAGTGGGTTATTCTGTTTTGATTTTGATTTAATTTTTTTTTTTTGTTAAAACTAATAGAGTTTATAAAGTTTATAAATTATTTAGAAAAAAACTAACTTTATAGACTAAAATAAAATTAGATTAATAATTAATAGATCAATTATTGAATTAAGTCCAATGCGATTGGTATAAAATCTTTTTTTTAGCTCATAAACTTTAATTTTCGGACTGGCATCAAGAAACAATGTCCAAAGGGGCTGTGTGATTGCTTATTTTATTTTCTACTGTAAATATTATTTGGAAAGGGGATGGCAATGTAAGAGGCTTGTCTGTAAATACATTGCTTACTTGAAAATTTTGAGAATAAAGTTAAATCCATTTGGTATTTCAAGTAAAATACTCCTTAAAGCTAGATAATATTTGTGCCTTAATAATAATATTATAATAAAATAAGTAAATTTTTA